AAGATTCAAATCTATTTTAAACTCATATGAGGAAATGTAAATCGGAAGAGAGAGAAAATTAAAATGAGTAAACCCTTAAGATATTTCCTTAGGAATTATGTATAGAAAGATAAATTGACATACAAAAATCTATTGAATAATAAAATAACATGAACATAAAAAGCAAACTCATTTTAGACTATGGAGAGAATCTAACGAATAAGAGACCTTCGGATCACACCTTTTCTAATTTATAAGATAAAAAATTAAGGTTGATTAATCCTGATCTTCACTTTACTTTAAAGTCTCACAAAGATTTCAGACACCGCCTGATCAACTATAATTTCCATCCTTTCTAATGTCAACAAGTTGTTCATTATAGAAGGAGGTCATGCATTGATTATAAAAGTGTAAAACCAAGAACAGCTTAAGGGAGTGGAAAGGATGTAATCGAAGTTCTCATTATGTGAGAATCAAAGGTTCCATAGAAGTCAGAAGCTACTAATTGCAGAGGAACTCCCATATTAAAGAAAGGACTTTGATAAAGTTGGCTGGCCTTGAAACAACTAGTTTAATCTTAATATAACAAGAAAATTTATTATTTGAATATAAATTTAGGAAAATTAATTTTCCATATTGTCAGTCGAAGGGCCACACAGCTATTATTATCTTTCTAAGGAGAAAAATTTAGACAAAAATTAAACTAAATTGAGAAATATGCTAGCTTTTAGATTATAATTTTCAAGATTTTCCACAATCATAAAATGTTTCTCATCTGTCCCAATTCTTAAGGTTGGAGGATCTTGTCCATAAATCATAGAAAGATGAAAAAGGCTACAGTCAAATGATGACTTCACTTAGAGCAGAGATTATGAATAAGGTTTTAGTGCATAAATTTAGATTTACAATTATTCAGTAAAATCTTTAACTTGCTTTGATTTTAGTAATACAAATTGGATATCAGTAAGTCTACAAGTTTTCTTAAACCTAATTTGAATATTCAAATAATTTTTTAGAAATATTATAAAAAATTTGAATACTTTAAGAATGCTTCTAAACAAGGTCTTCGTTGGAAATTTGCCTTACGCATAAACCTTAAGGCAGAAATTTAGTTTACACTTTGCCTTTGTCTTTAAGAAGTTCAAAATATAGCAATTTCTTTCTGGTATACAATTCAATTTTTTCTCATATTTTCCAAACCTTTCATTTTAAGCAGAATCAGATCTTCTTATAATGATTAGTATCGTTTGTTGAAAGTAAACTAAAAATCAATTAAAATGGGTTTCTTCTGCCGCTTATAAAGGAATTATGCAACAATTTTCATCTTTTCTTATATTGCTCAAAATCTGTTCCAATTCCCTTCTGCCATCTAAAAACTGAGCAAGGGTGTAATATAAATTCATTTAAACTATTTTTGCGATTATGAAGATAACTTTCTAGCAGCCTTCCATGAAATTTGGATTCATCTATAGTTTCTAACTTAAGCACAACTCATGAGTGTTTGTATAAATTTTTCCTTTGAAAAACTTATTATTGCCTAAGGTCTTCCTTATAATTCTCTTGTATTTAAATTTTAAATAACAACCAGTTAAGATTTGGTTAGCACTTGCGTTGCCTAAATTTATCAAGATGAGAGGAAATTGGTATCATCTTTTCTTTCATTAGTTTATTGTCATCATTTTCTTTTTCTTTTTGCTACAATTAATTTATTGATAAGAATTAGGATAAAATTAAATACCAGCGTTTATGAGAGTTTCAAATAGCAAGCTGTTATCACTTATGAGAAAAAAGAATCAAATTTAATATGTATAATTTTGTGCTTAACTTATTATCAAATTGATTACCCCAGATTGATCAGTTTTGAATCATTAGTATGTGGAGTTGCCATCCAGTTTGATTATCTTCAAGATACATAATTTAAATAGAATTAAATTTGTATCCCTTGAACATTTAGCCAAACAAATCAACTTACTCATCATTCACAATTAATTTGATACAGTTAAAAAAAAATTTATTGTTCATTTTTAATAGTTTTCAAATTCCAACCATTAGACCTCCTTAATTTAGGGTTAATGAGAATGGTTGTAAATGCTACTGAAATAACTAAAATTACAGTTGTCTAATTAAGATTTTTATAAAGTAAAGCTTTGGCTATTCGATCAAAAGAATATTAGCAAAACCTAGCTAATTTCAGAACTAAAATTTAATATTTTCCAATGAAAATCAATAAATTTATTACTTCTTTTTTTGCCTTATGTTTAGAACTCATTATGTATTTGTATTTATTGATAACATCTTTCTAATCCAATTGAGTTCCTTCTTCTTTAAATAATCAGCTTAATATATTACATATTTATGTTATAAACTTGGAAAGTATAAACGAATTAAATAAGTAGACTGGCAAATTTTGAACTTTTTGATATAGAGAATAATTATCAAAATAATTCAATTGTTGAAAGATTGAATTATTGGTTTCTGAATTAAAGAAAAAATTGAAAGAAAATATAGGGTTGTAGAAATTGGAAAATTGTTACATAATCTAATTTAATGAATATATTGGAGGAAGATTTATCAACCAATATTTAACACCTTATTCAATACATCATAAGAATCGCTCAGATATTTGTTAAAAAAATTAAGAAAAAGATCTTTTGAAATACTAAAAATAATTACATGTTAAGTGTTGAATATTATTTCATTTAATTATTCTGTCTTTTTGAAAGCATTTTTGTAATCACAATTCAATGTGTTTATAGCATCAATTGCTTATTAAAATTATTAACGATGTTTTTTTGTTTATTTATTTTTCCATTTAGTTTTTGTTATAATTAAGGATTTTGGAGCTATTTAATTAGAGAAAAGTTGAATTGAGTTTGTTCCTCAAATCTTCAGAGATAGCTTATTATTAAATTTTGTTGGTAAATGATTTTATTTAAGAGCAAAAAAACAGAAGAAACTTCAAATAATTACTATTTCCAATCACGATTTTGTGATTAGCCAGAGCACAGAAAATATTTTCGCTAGTCGAGGTCCTGAAACACATATGTATTGCTTTAGAGATAGCATGATAAATTATGTATGGATAGAGATGTAGAAGAAATTACAATTTAAAAATATAAGATGAAGCGCGTCATTTTATACACACTCTATTGATATTATTTATAATGAATGATAGATCAGAAGGGGTACATTTTGCACTATTTAAAGCAAAATTGTAGATTAATACTTCAAATAATCAATAAAAAATAATGTATTAACTTTAAAAAATTGTCTTAATTTTAATAAAACAGTATTAATTACGAACTAAAATGTTATTTAAAGTAATATACCTACTTTAAATATTTGGAGTGGAGGGTGGTGAAAGCTCTTAAAAGCCATCAAAATAATTAGAAGAAAAAATCAGAGGAGGCAAAGCCGCACCAGACTTAAAAGTGCTAAACTATTATTTCTCATGTTTGTCACAAGCTGAAAAATTTGCAGCTGGTAGGCGCAGCACAAGAAATTAAATTTCTAATTAATTCAGATGAATTTTCAGGAACAAAGATATAAAGTATTAATTTTAGGAAAAATTTGATAATAGCTTTAAGTTGACCTTTAGTTTGATTTTTTCATCAAATTATCTTTGATTATTATGACTCTTTATTTTTATAAATTCTAATTGATAATTGACACTATGTTTAATTTTTTTATGATTTTTACAACTGATTTATTTTAAGTACTCAAAAGCCAGTGTTTTGTAACTCTCTTTGATATTTTACAATCAAATTAGATAAAGTTTCTTTTAGATAGAAAAAACCAAACCACTTTTGGTAGGATTTTTAACTTTTGAGTTAATGATACTCTTCATATAACATAATTTTTTATAATTATGATTATAAAAATATTTTTAAATTTAATGATGGAATTTTGTAAGGATTACCAAAACAATTAGATAATTATAGATCAAAATAATAAAAATTAGGTTGCATGTATTTAAATTTCGGAATTTAAAAAACTTACCCACCTTTCAAGCCAAATTTGTATTTAGAAAGGAAAAAGAATTACATCAAATGGCAGCATGATTAAAATAAAGATTTATAGGATTTTAACTCAAGAATAAAAAAGGCTAATATATTTTAGGAAGGCAACAGAAAAAATAAATGAAACGAAAATAAAAATAAGAAAATAAAAGATTTAATAATATGTTAAGAAAAACATTAAGAGATTAAAAGAAACTTAAGAAATCTCTGCTTCACCAAATTAGAAAAATCTAAAAGCTAATATTCTAGATAAATCTAACATTTTTGGAGAAGCTTTGGAAAATTATGATTTAGCAATTTAGAAGAATTATCAAGATTCTTATTGTTATTTCAATATAGGTATTATTAAAAATGTATGATTTCTTAGCTGTGAAATTAGCAGAAATGAACTAATTAGAAAAAGCTTTGGAGAACTATAATTTAGCAATTTATAAATATTCAGCTGATTCAAGGTATTACAATAGCAAAGGTATATGAAATATGTGTGAATTCCTAGCTAATGCATTAGGAAAATTGAACAGATTCAAAGAAGCTTTAGAAAACTATGATTTGGCTATATAGAAAAATCCTGAAAATGCTAATTATTTTTATAACAAGGGTATATTTCAGTATGTATGATTTCTTAGCTATAACATTACACAAATTGGAAAGAGTCTCAGAAGCTTTGGAAAGCTTTGATTTAGCAATTTCTAAAAACTAAGAAGATTCTGAATATTTTTATTGCAAGGGTATCAGTATGAATAATTTCGTAGCTATCGCATTAGATTCTGTAAATAGATTAGAAGAAGCAATAGAAAACTATGATTTAGCGATAAAGAAAAATTCAGAAGATTCAAGGTATTACCATGGCAAAGGTAAATATTTATGCAATCGCAGCTAATACTTTACAAAAAATGAACAGATTAGAATTAGCTTTGAAATACTACGATTTAGCGATTTAAAAAAACCCAGAAGATTCTCGATAATTCTATAATATGGGTATTTTAAAGTATAGGTGAGTTTTAGCAATTGCCTTAGAAGAAATGAACAGACTAGAAGAGGCTTTGGAAAAATATAATCTGGCAATAAGGAAAAATCCAGCTGATTCAAGGTATTACCATGGCAAAGGTATCATGGAATTTTTATGATTTCCCAGCAAATGCATTAAATAAATTAAATAGTCTCTAAGAATCTTTGGACAACCTTAATTTAGCAATTTAGAAAAATCCCTGCGAATCATAATATAATAATGGGAAAGGTATATCAAATTTGTGGTATTACTTAGCATATATATTATATTAATTGAACAAATTAGAGGAGGCTTTGGAAAGCAATAATTAAGCCATTTAGAAAAATCCAGAAGAGGCTGATTATTATTTCGACAAAGGTATTATAAGACTTTACGAATTTTAGCTAATACTCTAGAAAAAATGAACAATTTAGATGAAGCTTTAGAATACTATAAATTAGCAATTGATAAAAATCCAGACAATGCAAGATATTACTAATGGAAAGGTGTATAAAACATTTTTTATTTCTAAGCTTATACATTACATAAAATTAACAAAATAGAAAAGGCGTTGGAAAGCAATAATTAAGCAATTTAAAAAAACCCAGAAGAGCCAGAATATTATTTCGACAAAGGTATTATAAAACTATACGAATTTTAGCTAATACTCTAGAAAAGATGAACAATTTAGATGAAGCTTTAGAATACTATTAA